CTAAGGGAGATGGGGGGGGGGTCCCGCTCAGGGTCCTGGCACCTCCGTTCGTCAGCGACTTTTTATAATGCCCCCTCCCCTTCCTCGGACCATGTGAGAATTAACCCTTTCAACAGCCAACTGCCATTTGGCCCATAGCGGCCAAAGAGTTACTTGTTTCTTTCAGTCTCATCCCAAACACAACTGGAGGTGGAGGCCTCCTGCCTTCGCTGAGGAAGACTCTGGGTGCAAGGTTGGGCATCTGCCAGCTTGGAGTTAAGTCTGTTCAGGCAGCTTGTCCCCAGCTGTCTGGGGCCTGAAAAGGGGGTGCAGGGTCTACCTTCGCAGAGGAGCAGGAGAGCCATGGAGCTGAGGCCCTCCTGCATCCATCCACAGTCAGCTGGTTAGGGGGCAGGGACCTGTGGCTGAGGAACCCGGGGTCAGACTGCAGCCCTGGGCTTCCCAATGTACCAAGAGGTGGAGGTGCAAATACACACCCCCGACACCCCGCACTGTCACACACAGCGCAAAGCTGAACAGTCTTACACATACCCTCACCACTACTGCCATGCACATACAGGTACACAGTCAGGCACACACCAACTCACATACACACATACAGGTACACGGAGTCAGACACACACCAACTCACATACACACATACAGGTACACGGAGTCAGACACACACCAACTCACATACACACATACAGGCACACAGTCAGACAAACACACCAACTCACATACACACATACAAGTACACAGTCAGACACACACCAACTCATGCCTGCACAGTATCACAAACACTTACAGCCACAGCCCTAACGGACAGAGCTGGGTGCTGCGGGAGTCCGCTGGGGACAGGGACAGAGTGGCAGAGGCCGCTGTTTGGGGCCAAGGAAGCCTCAGGTCAGCGGCCCCAGCTGAACTGGCTCCCCTGCCCCTGGGCCTCCCATAATCTGCTTTCCCGCGTCCTTGCAAAGAGGCAGCCGTGTGAGGGCACCTCTCGCCGAGGCCTGGCACTGTGGGCGGGTGACTAAGACAACATGGTGTATGTTAACAGCAGCACCTGGAAAGTCAGGAGGCCTGGCTTCTACTTCCAGATTCGCTACTCGACCTTAGGCAAGCCTCCTCCTTGGACCTGTCGGTTTCTGCCTTCCTGCCTTCCACAGAGCCCCACCCTGGGATACAGAGAGAATGAGAACTTACTTGTCCTTAGAGAATGGAGTATCACAGGAGACAGACACAGGCACTTCTTATAGCACAGAGCACGGAGTGCAAAGGTGCGCTGCATACAACATGCCTTAAGAATGCCAGGCACTTTAGGGCGGTCTGGGAAACACTTCACCGAGGTGGACTTTAGCAGGGCTTGAATGATGAGGAGAAATTTGTTAGGCAAATATATACAAATACACTTTGAATGCCGTGGGCCAAGCTCTAGAGTACCTGCCCTCATTGTTTTACCTCTTTTAGACCTCATGCTATTCTAAGAGCTGAGTGGTCAAAAGGAGCTCCGAATAAAACACAAAGATAAATAAAAAACAAAAACAGCCTAACTGGTTTGGCTCAGTGGATAGAGCATCGGCCTGCGGACTAAAGGGTCCCAGGTTCGATTCCTGTCAAGGGCATGTACCTTGGTTGCAGG